GTACCCCCAAGTCTTTCTCCTCAGGACGGGTCTTGATCCATTCTCCACCCAGCCTGTACTTATGCTTGGGATTGCCCTGTCCCAGATGCTGGACCTTGCACTTGGCCTTGTTGAACTTCATGAGGTTGGTACAGGCCCACCTCTCCAGCCTGTCCAGGTCCCTCTGGATGGCATCCCTTCCCTCCAGCATGTTGACCACACCACACAGCTTGGTGTCATCAGCAAACTTGCTGAGGGTGCACTCAATGCCATCATCTGTGTCACTGACAAAGATGTTAAACAGCACAGGTCCCAACACTGACCTCTGAGGAACGCCACTTGTCACTGGTCTCCACTCAGACATTGAACCATTCACCACAACTCTCTGAGTGTGACCATCAAGCCAGTTCATTATCTACCGAGATACTAGACGGTAGATATCTATCTATCCGTCAAGTTCACCATGCTTTCCTTGTTTTGTGAACCTGTAGGACATACGTAGTGGATGAGAATTGCTTCAAATATGCTGAGATCAAAGAATCTCCAAATAGTTGAGGTTGGAAGGGACCTCTGGTAGTCATCTGGTCCAAACACACTGATCAAGCAGGGCTGCCTAGAGCCTGTTGCCAGTTTTTCTACTGTCCATTTCCTGAGTTGAAAAGCTAGTGTGCAGTTGTTGACTTATGGTAAACAGTTGTTATGCTCTCTTTGACAAGTACAGGGTTATCCACGGTTCCTGCCAAAATGGACTTAGTTTTTCCCAGTCTCCGTAATTTATTTCACATCTCACAGGATCATAGAATGGCTGAGGTTGGAAGGGACCTCCACAACTTCTTTGAGAACCCTGTGCCTGTGCTCAGTTACCTTCACAGTGGAAAAAGTGGTTCCTGTGTTCAGAAACCCCTGCTGTGTTTTTCAGTTTGTGCCCATTGGCCTGGCTGAGGTGGGACCTCCACAACTTCTTTGAGAACCCTGTGCCTGTGCTCAGTTACCTTCACAGTGGAAAAAGTGGTTCCTGTGTTCAGAAACCCCTGCTGTGTTTTTCAGTTTGTGCCCATTGGCCATTGTCCTGTCATTGGGCATCACTGAAAAAAGCCTTACTCTGTCCTCCTTACACTCTCCCTTCAGGTATTGATCAAATCTCCCTTGATCCCACAACTTCTTTGAGAACCCTGTGCCTGTGCTCAGTTACCTTCACAGTGGAAAAAGTGGTTCCTGTGTTCAGAAACCCCTGCTGTGTTTTTCAGTTTGTGCCCATTGGCCATTGTCCTGTCATTGGGCATCACTGAAAAAAGCCTTACTCTGTCCTCCTTACACTCTCCCTTCAGGTATTGATCAAATCTCCCTTGATCCTTCCCATGTCCAAGCTCTACAGTCACAGCTCTCCCAACCTTTTCTCACAGGAGAGATGCTCCAGTCCCTGAATCATCCTTGTGGCCATTTGCTGGACTCTCCAGTATGTCCATGTCTCTCCTGCTGAGAGTCATGGACACCAGTCCCTCACCAGTGCTGAATAGAGGGGAAGGATCACCTCCCTTGACCTGCTGGCAATGCTTTGTCTGTTGTGGTCAAGGATACCATTAGCCACCTTTCCAGCAAGGGCACGTTGCTGGCTCATACTCAACTTGGTGTCCACCAGGACACCCAGGCCCTTTTCTGCCAAGCTGCTTTCCTGCTGGGTGACACCCAGAGTGTACTGGTGCAGGAAGTTGTTCTTTTCCAGCTGCAGGACTTTGCACTGCTCGCTGAACTTCATGAGGTTCATGCTGGCCCATTTCTCTAGCCTGTGGAGGTCCCTCTGGATGGTAGCATGACTCTCTGGTGTATCAGCCACTCGCAGTTTAGTGTCTGCAAATTCTGCCTCATCATGCAGCTCATTAATGAAGATGTTAAACAGGACTGGAACCTCTTTTGACTGCTGCAGTACAGTGCTAGTCACTGGCCTCCAGATCAACTTTGTGCCTGGCCATTCAAACAGTTTTCAATCCACCTCACTCTCTGCACATCCAGACTGTACATTAACAGTTTTTCTGCAAGAGTCTTATGGAAGTCCAGGTAGATAATTTCCCCCCATCTAGCAGGCCAGTCACTTTATCACATAAGTTTACCAAGTTGGTCAAGCATGACTTCCTCTAGGTGAAGTTGACTGGATGATTTTCTTGTCCTTAATGTGCCTGAGAGTGGCTCGCAGGATTAGCAGCTCTGTGACATTCCCAGGGCTCGAGGTGAGGCTGGCCGGCTTATAGTTCTTTGGGTCCTCCTTGACGTTCTTGAAGATGGGAGTGATGTTTGCCTTTCTCCAGTCTTCAGGTACTTCTCCCAGTCACCATCATTGATCAACGTTTATCGAGAGTGGCCTTGCAATGACACCTGCCAGCTTCCTCAGTGCTTGGGGATACGTCCTGTTGGGGTTCATGGACTTAGGGATATTCAGTTTACTTAAGTACTCCTGAACTGTTGCTCTTTCACCAAGGGTACATCTTCCTTGCTCCAATCCTTTACCCTGGTCCCTGGGACTCGTGTCTCGGAAGGTACTAGTTAACACGATTTCCAATTTGAAAGAGCAAGTGTGACATTTCATGGTACAGACCTGTGGCTATGTGAAGTGTCACCAATTAATTTGGTATAAGTGTGAAAGTG